TATGACTATGGCGTAATTGTACGACGCGACATTTGTCTAAATTGAACGGTAGGGTGTTTTGAAATGACCAGTTCGACACTGTGTTAAGATCGCACTGGAGCCGTTCATGGTCTTCCGGTCCTCTGATCTTTCGCCATATCTTGATGTCATCAGCGAAAAATAGGAAATCGGAAGTAATTGATCTCGCCAAATCGTTAATGAACACCAAGAATAGATGAGGTCCAAGAACCGAGCCTTGTGGTACTCCGCACGCCACATCGATTGCATCAGACAATGATTCTCGGACTCTCACTACTAGCCGTCGTTCTTGTAGAAACTTGTCAAACCAACTCAGGATTGGATCGCCAATGCCGTAATTCCGAAGCTTGTGAAGGAGAATGCGATGGTTTAAGCGATCGAATGCTTTTGAAAAGTCCAGGTAGATGACATCGACTCCAACTCCATCATCAACAGCTTCAGTCCAGCTATTACGTGCAATTAATAGGTTAGTATTACACGAATGCTTTTGACGAAAGCCATGTTGCTCTGGGGCTATTAACTTGTGGCTTTCCAGATACTGCATCAGCGCATCTGCGACGATTGATTCCATCAATTTGGATAGTACTGGAATTAGAGTTATTGGACGGTAGTTGGCAGGATCAGTGCGGCTACCTCCTTTATGAATAGGAGTGATGACCCCTTGCTTCCACACTGGTGGAATACGGTTCTCCTCTAGACATCGCTGATAGAAAATAGCCAGTGGTGCTGCTAGATTACTAGCTACTGCCTGTAGAGCCTTTGGTCGGATGTTGTCAGCTCCGGGAGAACTGTGGATACGCAAGCATAACAACTTCTTCAACACAGCTTCCGCAGTGAAGGTGATGCTGTCTAAACCAGATGGTGGAGTAGTAGAAATGAGGAGAATGTTTGTGCTCGTTCCCTCCTGGAAAGTTCGGGAGTAATGAAGCCGTAGGAGATCAGCTGCTTCCATTGCTGATCGCGTGTATCCATCAGCCGTGACTAGTGCTGGAACCCCTCGCTTTACCTTTCGAAGGCCGTTAACGTGCTTGTACAGGAGTTTACTGTTCGTGCAGAATCGCTTCATTAACTTCTGCTGATGAGTGACCTTGTCTTCGCGGATCAGTTTCACACAGAAGTTACGATGTGTCACGTATGCAGTCCAGGTTTCGGCATTCAGGCAGTCCTGGTGATCTCGCCATGCCAAATCCCTCCGGGACATATATTTACGTGTCCTGCTCCTCAGGAATGAATTGCACTTGTTTTTAGCTTGGAAGGACTTCTGCTCTGATGCGTGCGCTACCAATGTACTAAACGTCCTTGTAAATGTTTCCAAGGCAACATCTGGGGGGCATTCGGTTAAGAAAGTCCAAGACGTATCCTTAACTAGCTTAGACAACATATTGTAGTGTGTGACAGTATGCACTTTATCCTCCTCCTTTTCAGGGTACTCTGCATAGAAAATATAGTCAAAGAGTAGAGTAACATGATCACTACGACCCAGTGGTGTGCTTGTAACTATCCCATCAACCATGAGTTCTTCGTTAGTGAGCACAAGATCCAGTATCGACGGCTTGTTAGAAGATCGAAATCTGGTGGGAGAGGTTACGTGGTTGTAAAGAGGGTGGCTAGCAATTAGCTCTTGCAAGAAGGCTTTAAACTGCATACCTTCGGTTGCTGGAGTTTCTATGTCATGCACGTTAAAGTCTCCCGCGATAAGAATGTGGGTGTAGGACTTGTTCAAAGCAAACTGGAAAACGTGGTTCAGTTTGGAGTCCATTTCCGAAATTGAGTTTGGTGGGCGATAAATCACGGCTAGTAGACATGTGTCCTTGTTTCGCAACCATAGGCGGCACCAAAGCGAATCAGGAGCTGGGATTTCCGGGTGGTCGATAACTTCACATCAGAGGTTTGTATTATAATAAAGAATCACACCGCCACCCCTTCCGGTTCTATCGGTCCGAAGCAGTGACATACCGGCTAAATTGACCTCAGAATCGGTTATCTCAGGGTTTAACCATGTCTCTGTAATCATGACGAGGTCCCGCGGTTGTGAGGAATGGAGTTCCCTAAGTTATGCCAACTTGCTTAGTAGGCCTTGGGCGTTTGTATACATGCAAGATATGGCTTTTGTTGTTAGGAGATCATTGATAGATGTCAAGTTTGTGTTCGCCTTTAAGCCGGCCGTTAGGTGGCCCGCCATTAATCGTTTTTTGGTTTATGCATTTCAGTCGTGTTGCATGGCATTTTTAAGCGTTCCTGAACAGAAGTTTCACTGGTGCTGTGCTCTGTCCTCCTGTGTGCCGTGAACGCGGTTGTGTTGGTCTCTCCGCAGGACTGTGCAGAGAAGGAATTTGCTGCGTTTGCAAGTTCCGTTGAATTGCTTCCGACTTTTGGCCGTTCGCCTGCTGTTTTTAGCCGGATCTCTGTTGGCAGCCTAGATCGAAACTTTAACCAGCTATCCAACAGAACTTGCGTCATTCCCTCGGAGTGTAGTACTACTTTAATTAGCCTTGGACCGCAGCCCTTATAGTTAGGTGATGACGGAACTTTTGTCAGGGATTTGGCAATAACATTGTCAACAGAGAGTGCTTCGCGGATGTAGCACCACTGCTCTCGGTCAAGAGTTTGCGCATCGTGATCAGAAGAATGCAGAAGCGCGGGAACACCATGAACAAATATTGTTTTCTTGCTATCTCTATTAGCAATGCCGCGTTGGTCAACTGCTTCTTTTGGGTGATCTTTCCAAGGTAGATCAGGTAATATGCGTACTCCGCTCGGTGAGTTGCGAAGACCGACTGCTGAGAGCAGGACAGCCTCTGTCTCATCTGCTGAATTTAGTGTTACTCGAAGAATTCGAGGTTCACCAGGGTGCACTGAGGTCGGGTGACGCGCTACGCGTTGCAGCATTGCAGGCTCAACCCGAATACCAATCGCATCGCAGATGGAACTCCACTGGTTTCGATCGTCTTGTAACTTGCCTTTTATTGTTCCAGATTTGGATTCGGGAACATTGGTGCACACGAGAGTTAACGCAGCGTGGTTTTGTCTAGCGAGTGTTGGCTTTATTCTTTTTGCCGGCAATTCGGGTTGTTTAGAGGGCACCACTGGAGTCTACGGTGAAAGCTGCTTTGCGCCACGCGTGCTCGGTACTGATAATGGACCTATGTGTGTCCCTCCCGGTGTGTTTGTCGAGGCAATCGATGCGTACGTTACCTGCCTGTTATCTGCACCGGATTGCCTTCGGCTCTGAGCTGTCGGCGTCATGGATGAATCTCCAAGTGAAGCCTCTATGGTTAGAGAAGTGGAAGCAGGCATGTTTGAGGCTTGTCCACTTATGGGAGTGAGGTGACCCAGTGGACTTAGAGTCACAGACGCTGCAGTGCGGTTGGAGCGTCTAGCTCTTTTCTTCGGTTTAGGCTCAGAGCTTACTTTGGCCGGGTGAGATATTATCGTGGCCGTATTTACCTCCGGGGGAGGGATCTTAGTATTTACAAATTGCGCGATTATTTCAGTCATTCTATCGCATTTTTTCATAAGCAAAGATAAGCAGTTGACCACTGGAATGACTTGACATGTTGGGCAAAACCAAATTGTGTCAGCAACTTGGTTTGTCTGTCTCACTTCTTGGACAGATTTGCCTACACATTGCGGACAGTATGATCTAATGCAGCTAGAACAGGTAATACTGATCTTAAGCAGTTTACTGCAGTTGTCTGCGCAATATAGGCGATGTTGAACCATTGGTATGCTACTCGTCCTCTTATTGTTTACAACAAAGCCTATCTAAGCGCTCACCTTGATAAGTGTACTTTGCGCTAGGGGTGACGCAGGAACACGTCAGAACACGCACACGAATAGATAGTTGTTCAACCGAACCAAGGTCAGGCGGAGGCAGATGGAGGTCGTAACGCGCAGATTGTCGGATTCAGCGATCAATCGACTCACAGTGGTACACACACACACACACACACATACACACACACACAAAGCGGCAGCGTGTGTTAATTGGCCTGCCTTAACCGACGATGCAGGTGGAGCGCTGATAAGCGTGCCTAGAGCTGCTCAGTTGACGAGCGGAGCAAAAAGGCTGTAAGTTTGTTATACTGCAACTTACAGGGATGGTTGCCGCGTAGTTGGGGAGTCCACAACTTCTTCTTCCGAATGAGACCAAAATCTTGTCCGAAAGACCGGTTTGATGTAGTTACACAAGTGGAATTCGGCAAAGAATATGCCGAAAACTGGGAACTGGAGCAAGAGTGTAATCCACACAGGTTAGATCCAGATGGAAAGCACGGAGTATAGCTCGTCGAACTGGTTCGAACGAGCGCAAGCACAGTATTGTGTGGGGAGAATTGGAGTGGCCACAGAGGGCAAAGCGAGAGACGAGTTAAAGTGCGGCCGCACGGTAGGGTGTCACTGGAACCTCCTGAGGATGATTCCAATTCATTCGAGATAAAAAATGGTTTGGTTCTTTGAATAACACATCTTAGTCGAGATCCAGACTTGGTGTTTGATTCTCGGATAACTGTCTCGACGCTGACCAACGGTCAATATAATATAGCCCACATCCATATAACAAGCCGTTCATTTTACGCAGCTCATCTGGAGTTTCATGATCACGCTCACAGATGAATTTGCGCATATTCAATTATTTCGTATCGCTTGGCGCATTGTGCAAAAGCTTGCACACCAGCTGTCTGTCGACAGACACTTTTGGTAAAAGACGAAAGAGTTCAGTTTAAATCGACCAAAAATCGGATTCTAGGCTATTTGAAACAAGTTGTCCAATTGTTTCGATACGCCCGTTTGCTGTTTGATTGATTTTTACAGAAGGTAAAAACGTTGTGTGCTATCTTATTTGTTGGACTGAGCTTATACGAACAAGTGTAGTGACAGCAGTACATAGTGATTGTGGATGCTTTGATCATAAAAAATTATTCGCACATTTAAGCGGTTTAGATAAACTACTCGCCACAATATGTAAGCATGTAAGAACGTACCATTGTTCACCATGATTCCGTACTGCTCCAAGAGAAAATTTATGTTAGTTGTGTATCGGCATTCCCCGTTCTCACCTAAAAGAACCAAAATCGCACCACCATGTTCCAAATATTTCTTCAGAGTGGAAAATTCCGCGGCGTTGAACTTCTCAGTCGGCCCACAAATAACGAACAGCTTTGAACTGCACAGCCTTTCCATGGTTATTTCATCTTTGTTACTTGGAAGTACACACGTAATAAGCGACAGGTGAAACTTACGCCAAAATCTGCCAAGTAGACTTTAGACGTTTCGAAGCTTCTCTGAAATGTTGGTTCAAATTAAAGGCTTCTTTCTTGGTCTGATTGAATAACATTATATTTTCTCTGGTCACATTCACTGGAGTATCGTTTAGGTGCATTTTTCTAGTATATAGTGATCAGAGTGGGGAATGAAGCATACTAAAATTGTAGTTCCAACAAGCTGTAAAGGAATGTGAATGTGTAAGCTTGGGTTTAGTCATAGCGTATGGGAGCTCCTTGAATCCATGGATATGGCAGTTTTGTATAACCATGTGCATCGATCAACCAGACATCGCGGTTCAAACAAGTCATCACTCCTGGACCTAATCCTGACTAATGAAGAGTTTATGGTTGAGTCAGTAGCATACGATTCTCCACTGCGGCGTAGCGACGATGAAGTCCTAACGTTTCGTTATGCGTGTTATGCCAGTATTGTTGATAAAGAAAAAGCGACTCAACGAACTATTACGGACTAATTTAAGCTGTACAACTGTGACGTACAGACGCACAGTTTAGCAAATGACGCGTGGAATGAACTGAAAGACAAAATTAATTGGGTCATACAATCAGCATCGAAGGTTGTACCATTAGGAGCATCGCGCCGGACCAATAGGTGGATCCGAAGCAGAACACGTAAATGGATCAACAGAGGAGATGAAATCTGAAGGCAACATTCGATAAGCCCAAGTGATACCACATGGCAGACTTACAAAGCACTCAGAAACTACTGCACGGAGCTCATTAGAGTCGATAAGTATGAATGTCAGGAGAACATGGTGCTGAAACTTACTAGCAACACCAAAACTACTATAGATATTTGTGAATGACAAAATATAGGTTAAGCTCGAAATACCACCACTTAAGGCGGCCAGTGGCCTAACAACTACTACTGTGAATGCCGCGAATGCTTTATTCCTGCAGTTTCGATCGGTAGCTACAAATAATATGGGACCTTCGCCCTACCAACTCCCAACAAATATCGTTGGCTTATCCAGCGCTACCGTTGCCCCAGCATCTGTTGCAAGTAACTTACAGTCTCTCTGGAAGTACAGTGCCCCTGGAATCGACATGATCTGCCCAAAAGTACTGAAAACCCTTGCTCCCACCACAGCAGCACCACTTGCAACCTATTCCAGGGTTTGCTCAACTCCCATACACTCCCATCTGAGTGGAAAAATGGAATTATCACTCTAATATACAAAGGAGGCAAGCGATCGGATCCTGCCAACTACCGATCTAATACTCTCCTTTCTGTTTTATCATAAGCAATGGAATCGGTAATCGCAGATGATCCAACGCGATACTTTGAAATTCTACAAATAATTTTTAATGTCCAATCTGGGTATATGGTTGGCGGCATCCGGTTTCGGATTTGTCTGTCAATGTGGTCAGTCCCAGGACGCCTGCGCCTACAGAGGGACCATGGGTGGATTGGCTGCACCATGGGTATATATATATATATATATATATATATATATATATATATATATATATATATATAAAGTTTACAATCTGTGGTACAGATATTGTTCCATCGGAATTATGGCTGAATAGGAAAACAGGCAGAATAATAAGAAAAGCGCAACAACAAAAGCTTTTCTTAGTCTATTTTACCACTCGTGGTATTTGAAATTGTTTTTCAGTTTGGAGGGTCAAGTTTGGATTACACGTTGTGTGATTGGATTGCGACACGCAACCTCAATTTAATGGACTGTGATTCACATTGAAATGAACCTTAGTCACCGCGATCACTGGGACCGTATTCAAAGTAGATAGAAATAGGGTATTTCCCACCCGAAAACACTGCACAGCCACGACGCGTTTCGATGTAATTTTCATCTCATCAGGTGGAGACAGCAGGATTTGAACCCACGACCATTGGAATAGCAGCCAACATTACTACCCCTTTGGCTACCGGGTCACGATGGGCAACACATTTTGTCACAACGGTAACTGACTAATTGGAGGGTCAAGTTTGGATTACACGTTGTGTGATTGGATTGCGACACGCAACCTCAATTTAATGGACTGTGATTCACATTGAAATGAACCTTAGTCACCGCGATCGCTAGGACCGTATTCAAAGTAGATGGAAATTGGGTATTTCCCACCCGAAAACACTGCACAGCCACGACGCGTTTCGATGTAATTTCATCTCATCAGGTGGAGACAGCAGGATTTGAACCCACGACCATTGGAATAGCAGCCCACACTACTACCCCTTTGGCTACCGGGTCACGATGGGCAACGCTTTTTGTCACAACGGTAGATGACTAATCGGAGGGTCAAGTCATCTTTACGAATGGGCCAGGTCTCGTATCCGTACAACGGTACAGCACGAACAGTTGCACAATAGACCCGCCCTTTGATGGAGAGACGAATGTCGTGGCGACGCCACAAATGCCTCAGCCTAGAAAAAGCGAGGCCTGCTCTCGAGATGCGCATCGAAATCTCGTCTCCAACAGCCCCGCCAGCAATGATGCAACTTCCCAAGTAGACAAAGCTCTCCACAACCTCTATTGTCTCACCAGCAAGAGTGAGTGCAGGCAGAGGCACCTGCCAGTCTTGGAAGAGAGCCTTGCATTTGGATGGCGAAAAGTACATACTGTACTTTGATGCTTCAATCGCCAAGCGGTTTAATGCAAGTTGGACGACGTGTGAGTCGTCACCCAGCAAGACGATATCATCAGAATAATCCAAATCAACAACTCGACTACCTGAGAGGAGATCAATGCCAGCATTCAACGAATCGCTTAGAGCGTTCTTCAAGACATCCTCAATGGCAAAGCTGTATAGGAACGGAGAGATAGGGCATCCTTGTCGAACTCCACTGGAGACCACAAAGGTAGGCGAAAGCTTGCCATAAGCCCTAACCCTGCCAGACGTCAGACTATAGAGAGCGCGCAGTATGGAGACGAATTTCTCGGGGACATTATTCCTCAGTAGGCAGTGCCACAGTACTGTACGATTGACAGAATCGAAGGCTGCATGGATATCCAGGAACACAGTAATCGTTGGCCTCTGATATACATGGCGGTGCTCGAGGATCTGACGGAGTGTGAAGATTTGATCGATGCAGCCACGACCAGGGCGAAACCCAGCTTGTTCTTTTCGCTGCAACGATTCGCGTGTTGGGGATAGCCTGCGAAGTATGATGGACACCAGCAGCTTGCAAACGACAGGGACTAAACCTATTCCTCTGTAGCTGGAGCAGATTGTGCGCAGGCCCTTTTTGAAGATGCGGACGACTATCGATTCACCCCAAGGTGACGGAACTTTCTCTTTCGACCAAACTTTCGAGAACAAAGCGGTGTGTTCTCGAACCAGCGATGCGCCACCATCTTTAAATAAAGCCGGAGGAAGAGCATCAGGGCCGGAGGCTTTATAATGCTTCATGTGCCGGAGCTCCTGCTCGATTTCCTGGAAAGAGGGAGGATCCGTGGGGGTAGACCACTCGGCCCCAGCGCGAGCGCCAGAGGTGGCGGATGGATCTGGGGGCCAACAAAACTGCGAGCCAAAATGTTCGGCCCATCGCTCCAACCGTCGTTGAAGATTGGTGATTAAGGTGCCATCCTCTTCGCATATTGTTTCACTTATCATAGATCCAACACCTTCGGTGACTCAAATGAGATGGAAAGGTTTTCTGGTATTACCAGGGACAGTAGCAAGCTCCATCTCCCTAGAACGTTCACACCACCAAGCTTCGCGGTCCATTTACAGACTCTAGCGCAACTCTCGATCAAAGTATTGGCGTTCTTCACTGTGTCTGGAATACGATGGGATCAAGCGGCGTTTGTCCATCAGCGACAAGGAGTCGGCGGAAATCCAATGCTTCGGTGAGTGACGGACAACTCCACAAGTGTCGATACTGGCGGAAACTAAAGCATCTTTGATATGCGCCCACTGCGAATCGAGATCACCGTCAATAGTTGAGACAAGCAAGGTTGACAGTGAGGCTTGGTACCTGGTTAAAATCGCAGGGTTTTGTAGATTCACGACGTCCCGTCGGTAGTGAGCGCGCTTAGGTGATCCTCTGAAACGCATGCAAATCTTAGCACGAACCAATGCATGATCAGAGTCTAGAAAAGTTGACCGGTAGACTGTTACGTTTCCGCGCCATCTGTAGCTGATTGCTATGTAGTCAACCTGGGAGCACTCTTGCGTTTGTGAGGGCGGGCACCAGGTAGCAGTGTGTCTCCCCGAGTGCCGAAAACTAGTGCTCGAAAGAAACAAGCGAAGATCAGAGCAAAGAGCAAGCAGTCTGTCATCATTGTCTGATCGACTGCCACCGAGACCAAAACTACCCCAAGGTGGTGCTCGCTTGGTGGAAGGCGGCCAACCCGTGCGTTAAAGTCCCCGGCAAGAATGACTATATCAGTCCGTTTGGAGGAACGCAGAAGTTCATGTAGTTACTGGTAAAAGCTATCTTTAATTGCATCCGGGCTGCAATCTGTAGTGGCGTAGGCGGAGACGACAAACAAGGCGCGCTTAACGTTTCGACGCTTGCTTACGTTACATGAATTTCGTAGTCTGACTGCACATAGCCGGCTGTTGACTGGGATCCAGTCAAGCAGAGCTGATTCAGCCCTGGCACTCAGTACAACCCCAACACCAGTTTGACCAGTAGCGGCAGCTTCTGGGTCTCCGGAAAGCCGCAAGTAGTATTTGGCGTCAGCGTTTACCGGAGAGGCCATTCTGATGACGGCGCTAGAGTCTTGCAATCTGGTCTCTGAAAGGCAACAGATAACTACCGAAAGCGTTTCAAGTGTACGGGCCAGACATGCTTGTCGTCCGATCTGCATCAAAGTTCGAACATTAAACGCTACGAGGATGAATGGAGAACCAGGTCGAAGAAGAACTGGAGCTTCGGTGGAGTGAGAGGCGGTTGCGATCGCAGGACATTGAAAACCGGGAGTTTGGCTGTTGCTTCCATCAGCTGCGAGACGTGGGTCGTTCGTGACGGTGACCGTAGAAGACATAAGAGTACATGTGGGTGAAGGATGGGAGATGGGGTGGTTTGTGAGTGGAGGTTGAGCGGTTGAGTTAGCACAGAAGATAGGCATAGCAGTAGCAGTAGTAAGCGGTGTGGTCCATGATTCGTCAGTGGGCGCGATAATACCCGGTTGCCCAGGCCGAAGTACAGGGTTATATTAGGGAGCGCTACCCCGAGCCTTTGATCAAA